CCAGCCCGCCTGCTCCAATCTCCGCTGGAGAACCCCACTGCCCCAACCTGGTACCGGGCCATGGGAGAAAATTACCAGGCCTCAGTGTGGCTGCCGGAGAGGCTGATCTCCCCGGCCAGCCCCCCCCCCGGCTCCTGTCCAGTCCTGGTTCCACTGCCTGCCCTCCCCGATCTCCGCTGGACAGCCCCACTACTCCCAATCCTGCTTCTGCCGCCTGCCCGACCCCCACCCCCATCTCCGCGTGACAACCCCGCTACCTCCAACCCTGCTTCCGCCACCTGCCCTCCCCAATCTCTGCCGGACAGCCCCACTACTCCTAACCGTGCTTCCACTGGCCACCCATCCCAATGTGTGTCTGTGTATGTGCATATGTGTGTCTGTGTATATGTGTGTTTTTGTGAGACAATGTCTTTGTGAGTCCGACACACAAAGTGTGCATATATGTGCTAGACACTGGGAACACAACTTTCCTCTCGGGGAGAAGAGTTCGTCAGTCTTTCAGCCAAGATGTGAACTGTGGGTGCACATTCTGCCATCAGGTGTCCAAGTCACTTTCACACTGTCAGGCTTTTATGCCTATATGTGTCTTTAAAACTCAGAGCTGATGTCAATGAGGTGACCTGTGGCCTGTGTCTGGAGTGCCAGGCCTAGAGATCAGACTAACAAAAGCTTTGGACCAAAATCTTTGAAATCTTTCAAACCAGGAGCATTGAATTGTTTTTTCCTCCTTGAAAGCAGCTCTCAGTTCTGCCTCTACAAACACTCCTAAAGCTGGTGCAATTGACCCTGGAGGATCTGAGATCAGGTAGCAACCCATGGGGTGTGTTCAGGGTAGGGGGTTTTGTATCCTTGTCTGTTTCTCAGCTGCATGCTGGGTTTGTTGCTTGGAATCCAGTGCCACGGCGGATACTGCCTAGACCTGGATACCAAAGCTTGAGGGTTTGGGTTTTCTCTGATGGGGTTTATCTCTGCTCAACCTCATAAGGGTAATTCCCTGCTCTCACTAGATCTACACTCACTATCCTTGTGTGACGGGTTTTCCGGGGGCGAGCGCCCCCACCGGACCGTGAGAGAGGGGCCTCAGCAGAATCACCATCTGGTCTCTGTTACAGTAATAGGGTCCCTTGCCCCTTTTCCTGGCCCCTCCCCGGGGTCTGTGTTCTAGCGACCCGCAGTCCTGGGTTCACCGGAACTCAGTGCCTAGTGTCATGCAGATGAAGGGGGGCAGTTAGGGGGATTTGGGGGTCGGGGAATCAAATCCCTTCCCGGGCTGCTTCCTATCCCCGCCGGTGGTTCTCAGGGGCTTACCCATCCGCCGTCATCCTCGCATTCAGTTGGGCACCGCAG